TTTTTTTTTATTTTCTTCTGTTTGGTCCATAATAAACATTTGGTTGTTGGCTGCCACATGAGAGGCAAAAAGCTTTCCAAGGTATTTGGTCATTAGGGATTTAACCACCTGTAGCGTGTGTGCTGATGCACTAGTGTTGACATTGTGTAACCTTTGGTAGCAGTGGTGTTAAACAACAGTTTATTGGCAAGATTTTGGACGTTTCAGATGGGATTGCTTCCACCCGAGCCAAGTGGTCCCAACTAATCTGGTTGACATGTCTGGAAATATTTACAAAGTCAAGAAAACAAAGAGGTTGATGAGGTGCAGGATGTAGAAATGGAGAATGATGCAAGTCATTTGTAAGAACAATAACATGTCCTTTAAAAGGCAATAACTTTTGACATATTGGAAAATACATTTCCACGCTTCCGGACATGAGAATGTTGCCTGTAATGTACATAGTAGAAGTTTAAATTGGATGATACTCTCAGTATATTCCAAGCCATGGATCCATGTGGATTTTACATGGCTTTAATGGGTAAAATATGGCTGTGAATAACTACGATGTTTTGTTGGCAACTCATGACAACATGAGATTTTAAGACTTTACCTATATGAGCAGTTTGGGTGAGATCAATGAAAATACCCATGCAAGCCCTATTTTGATTGGCCCATTTCCCTGCCAGGGTCTAACAAATACTTAATAAATTTGGTCCAATTATAAAAAATATATTTTACCACTACAGCTGTAATTTAACCCAACTTTGTTTTTTGTAAAAATACATAAACAAAAAGCATTTTTTCTTAATTGTCCTTACATTTTTTTCAACCAAAAAAAAAAAAAATTCGAATTCAATTCAACACATTTGCAAAAGAAGGCAGTGTTTAATCCTCTGTGATGCACAGAGTAAATAGTCATCCAATTTAAAACATTCATCAAAACATTTAAAAATGAATATTTTATATATTTTAGTAGCATTAAGTAGAAGGCTCACAGCGTGTACCCAGAAATAAAAACATTTATTACTGTGATACACTTTATCTGTGTCAATTGTTTGGTTGTTCACAAGCACCAGTTATTTGCTACCTTCTAAAGCAATGGTTGCCCCACTTGGATTCATACTTGTTTTTTACGTTTGTGTGTCAAATGCACTGAATGCATCACAAATTAGAAATAAAATTTGCCTGTTCTGTTTTCGATGCCATTGATGCACAGGAAGCCTGTTTTACCTATGTTTCATTAATAGGTACAGATTCCTGTTGATTCACAGTTCATGTAACTACCTGCTGTCCTGCCTTGTTAAATTTATTTAGGGGAAAAAATTACTTTTCATCCACCCAGAAGTTCAGAGATCATTTTCAGCTGCATGGCAAGCAACAAGAATAAAAGGCCTGTGCCAGAATGGTCATCCAGCCTAAAAATGTAAGTCCTACTCTGTACTCTGCAACCTCTGATGACAGCGGTAGCACTTGAACCATTTTCAATCAGCTGGTGTGATCTGAGGTTACGATCGATAGACAGCAGGACTACTACACTGATCCTGTCAGTGGTTGGACTGAAATGATACGGCAGTGATGTACTGTATGAGCTGAAGACTTTCCATTATAAAGAGGCAGTAAATGTGGTATATAAATACAACTTAAAGACAAAGGATTACATAACTAATACTATTGATATTCAATGCCTGTAAGGACACAACACTCACACACGCACGCCATAACGACACAGTGATTTTTACACAGTCACTGTTTTAACAATATAGTTATTCATATAATTTCATTATCAGCTGTGACATTAAGACTGTTTTCTAAGTGCTTTTGTTCAGTCTATCATCTACAATCGGTGATCATTGGTGAAGTTCTTCAAGCTTCTTCTACAGGAGTCCAGCAGATTTCAATGGAAAAACAATTGCAGGTCAATTGAAAACGTCTTTTCTAAAAAAATAATAAAGAAAATAGCATACAATGCAATATTCAGTTGTATATACATTGTTCGGGGGGTTTGTGGGTTTTAAACCTGTGGGGGGTTTTCCACAGCTACTGCAGAGTACTCAGTTTCAGACATGTTCGAAGCCTCGATGAGACGAGCCAAGCCCGTTCTTGTGGAGTATTTAAAGATAAAAGCCTTCATGAGGTCATAGCGGTAGTTTCTGTTGATGAAGTTATAAAGGATGGGGTTGAAACAGCAGTGGAGCAGCGACAGACACTGGGTGAGGTGCAAGGCCACATAGATCACATTTTCCAGGCCACAGGTCAGTGGCACCAGGCCCAGCTGGGACAGGGCGTCAGCGAACAGGACAGCATGGTAGGGCCCCCAGCAGCCGAGGAAAACGACGATGTAGGCCAAGATCATCCGGCGACTCACACGGCGCTCTTGCTCTACTGATGATGAGGAAGAAGAAGATGGGGTACGGCTCAGTGCACCGGCCAAGAGGGCATAGAACACTGCAATGACAGGAAAGGGGAGCACAAATCCCAGAAGGATGAAGCTGAGCTGCACGCCCACCATCCATTCTCTGGGATTGTCCTCTGGGTACACAGGTCTGCACAGCATCGTGTCTCCATGTGTTGCCTTCATTGTGCGCAGGAAATATGTGTCTGGCAAGGAAGCCACCAGAGCTAACAGCCAAACCCCGACACACACACCACTGCGAATCAGCTTCCTGCGCATGCCTCCTGTGTTGTCGCCCTGATGAACCACACTCAAGTAGCGGTCCACGCTCATGCACGCCAGGAAGAAGATGCTGCTGAAGAGGTTGACGGAGAACAGCAGGTGTGTAAGTTTGCACGCCACTTCGCCGAAGGGCCAGTGGCCGTGCTGGGCCAACGAGCTCACCCACACAGGCAGAGTGACACAGACACACAGATCTGCAACAGCTAAGTGGGCAATGTAGGTGTGGGTCTCGTGGCGTGGGGTGGAGTCTCTTTGAGCACGGATGTTGACCCAAAGGACTAGAGCGTTAGCAGCCAGGCCGATGACAAAGATGAAGGTGTAGAGAACACACATGGAGTAGAGCAGAGCGCTGCGGTTGAACGCTGTCGCACACACCAGGGTGTCAACACTCGATATGTTGCTGAAGGTTTCAGAGAGGTTAAGGTCTCCCAAGGACTCCCACAGGTCCTCCAGTTCACTGGTGCTCAGACTCATCCTGACTGCAGATCGTCGTGTGGAAACACTAACCACTTCTGAATAGAGCAGATCCTGCAAAAACAAAAAGAACATCATTTTTTTAACGACATGAATTAATCTTGAAAAAGATCCAACAACTAAATGCTACCAGTTTTCCTTCAAGTTAACTTTCTGGCATCACGTTTAAAAAGCAATTTCCTGCTGCATAGCGTGTGGCTTATTTTAGCCATATGGACGCAAGATGTATGGGCTATTAAAATATGAAGCTATTTGTGGTATGCCACCAGATCGTGATGTGGTTAACAGTCAAATCAGTGCTTTAACAAGTCAATAGAGCTCCTCTGTTGTTGTGTGATAAATGTACGAGTTGTCAATGACTGATGTGCAGTCAGGGAGCAGTTCTATAAATGTTTTCATTAGCTCCACTTGCACCCAGGGCAGACTAGGCCTTAGGAAGTGGGATCAAGAAAGTTAAACAGGGTCTTTTTCCATTTAGGGGGTTTCAAGATAGAGCATTTGTGGGGGTAGGAAACCTGATGCCACTTTAAAGAGTGTTTTCTCTTAACAAGCATGTTATAGTTAAATACTTTTCCTTCTTCTCTGGAGGGAGGGATATGAAGAAGGGTGAGAGTTGGGCTGGCGCCACACACATGATTAAAAGAAAATATTTCTCATAACCTTGAATACATCATTTTACAACATCTGAAGCTCAAAAGACATCAACAATGGCACAAGTTCACTCAAAGTAAGGTGACTGAAGCAACATGCAAGATCAATGAGGTTGCAGTCCAGAGTAGCTTATTATGCTTGTGTCCTTTTGACCCCGGCTGCATGGAGGTGTCTGCCCTGACTTCACTTTTTTTTGGTGGTGATGTCTCTCTCGGCTCCCCTGACTGGTGTGTGGAGACTCAGAGGTGAAAGGTGATAGATCAAAACCAGAACAGGAATGGCCTAAACCCCGCTGCTGCTCCTGACTGATTTGTTCGCCCACAGAGTGAATTGTGAGCAGAGACCAGCGGGAAGCTTAACGCCCGCAAAACAGCCAAAAACACGTCTTAAATGAGAGCCAGTGACCACTGGGTGACCCAGCACCGCAGAAACTGATGAAATGTGACCACATCTGTCTGTGTGTCTGTATGGAAGCCCCTGTAATACACAGGATGTCTGACACACAGTGGCCAGGGATGATAAAAGTCAAAGAAAATCGAGACTTTTTTAGGCACACCTGCAACATATCAGTGCACCATGTGTTTGTAAACCCATTCATACCTATGCGTTTGAACAAGGACTGTCAACATTAATTATGGTAAATAACTGTTGAACTATGGGGGTAAAAAATGTTTTTCTCATCAAAGCAACTCAAGCTTAAAATACGATCCCAACGCCCACAATGCTTTGTGGAGGCAGGAAGAAAATCTATAACTGACAGACTGGTTAATATTGGTGAGGACCAGACTTAGCCGAAGTTTTGAAAGGAACTCTCAACACATTCAGGCCCCGTCAAGATGCGGAGTACTGACAAATATCCACCATATCTATGACGCAAAATTTGGGGTTAACTTCTTGACATTTTTCCATAAACAGGTGTGAAACACAAACATTTATCTGCTGTTTCTTGTCATGCCTTTCCAACAAGCTGCATGAAAAGGCTGTTTTATCAAATTGAACAATGTTGACATCTCTCGATTAATCATGATTAATTGTGCTCATACCACAGCAACCCTGTGACTTATCAGATTAAATTATAACTGTTTGACAGATTTAACAAAAATGTACTGGCCAGGAAGTCCATATCACATACTCCCCTATGACAGGAATCTGCCTTAGCGGGCCACAGAACAAACTCTGGTCTTTGTTCCACTGCCTGAGCCATTTCCATGAACTGTTTATTCATTTGCATCAGTTCATTTGGTTTTCAGCACCACGCAATAGCATGCAAATCTAAGACAGGCTCTATGAGCTCAGGATACCGTCTCCTCCTGCTACCCCCAGAGCAGCACAGCTCAGTGCGACTGCTGTAATATCAATCTGCTTCATATAATCATCGTAATCAAAAGAATCAGCCCCAGAAATATTAGTTTGAGGCTGTGCATATTTAATTTCAGTCCAGTCCGTGTTTTTCCATTAAGAGTTAAATTGTTTCTTTGTCCTTCATCCTCTCTTTCCTTATCCTTTACTCTTATACAAACACTCATGAGACATGATCTCCCGAGCATGACGGAGGGTATCACTTGACAGATGGATATCTGTCAGTTGGATTCCGCAGTAGAGCATATATAAAATTAAACAAAGCCATCTGGTTGCGAAAGTGGAACCCTTAGCTGTCAATCAGACATATATCCACTGCTTTTGGACGTTACTCAGTATGAATATACTTTTTTCCTTAGACATGCACCAGTATATAGGCTTTTTTGTTTTTACTTTTTGTGGAACGCAGGTCTACAATGTAAATTGACAATTTTTGAAAACTATTCCAATTTAAAGAAAAATGTAAATTGACAACTTTTGAAAACTATTCCAATTTAAAGAAATACAGCAGGTAAAGCACTACTAAGGCAAGAGAAAGAGTTGACAGAGTTTGTGATTGATGGGCTAAGTATCGAATAATAACATCACATGAGTTTCCCATTAGGTTTACTCTTTGTATTTGAAACTAAACTTCATTTTGACCAGATGGTTGTAGACACTGCTTATAAACAATCTATGCTTTGAAATGGTACAGTCACTCTGCTGGTTTTAAGTCTTGCTGGCTTTGGTAGAACCTCATACAGTGTTATATGGTCTACCACTGTGAGGTTCACATCGAAAACTCCGCGGCTACATCCATATCTTATATAGGCAGCGCATATTTAATTTCACTCCAATGTGTTTTTGTTACAGTTCCTCTCTTTTCCTTTCCTTTTTTTCTTCCTCTATTTCACGCAGTATCCCAGTATTACTTGTCAGAGGAATCAGCAATCCCTAGTGGTGTGTACCTAGACTTTTAAGTGGAAAAAGCCAAGCAACCAATGGGTGTGTCTGGCCTCTGGTTATAGTTATGTACAGTATTTAAGGAATTAATTTGGTCTATTTTATAACTGGAATTCCACTTTTAACTGCCAATAATTCTTATGGTTCAACATTGAGGTCTGTGCTCTGCCTTTGAAATGTTTGGTCATCTCACACTGTTTGAACATAAGCACTGTTGTGAAAGTACTCCTTCAGTGTCAATACCAATAAAATTGAGGGGAAAAAATGTTGCAATTACTGAGCAAAACGATTTTGGATGTGAAATATTCTATTTTATGATTTTCTGCAAAACCATGAACTTTTGCTACGGTTGATTAAAAGCAGACTTTCAACCTCTATAGGACTGACATTCTGTTTTTTTATTGATCAGGGATTTACATGTGGGTTACACTCTAAATAAGGCACTTCTCCTTATTTGGCCCATATCTCCTGCCGCTGCATGGGATAAACCTCTTCAAAGAGAGGTCAGATACCTGACATTTTATTTAACTTTCGATTATTCTGACACAGCAGGGAGTGCCATTCACTCTAATGGAGGGATTTCGTATGAGATAATCCCTTACAATGGTCTCTGTCTAATTCCCTCATATTATATGGAAATACCTGGAGGTGCCAGGTAGCCTCACAGGCTTCAAGCTAATTAACCTTTTAACGCTGCTACCATCAGATAACAGGAGACAGCACTGAGGCAGGAGACCAGGTTCCTGTTCTGTCTCTGTGAGTCTGTACTCATTCAGAAGCATTTCTGGCATTTTTTTATGCTGACTGTTTTTAACTAGTTCATCTAATGTGGTCTTAAACCAAAACCTTAATGAAGCAGAATTCAATTTTATTTTAGCAATTACTTAGGTTTGGTATTTGCTGGTTTTACTTAGGGTTAGTTACATTCTTCTAAATGACATATTCTGTCATTAATGCTGGCATTTTCCATACCCATCATCTCAACTGAAAACTTCCAGTCTAATCTGATCTGGTTAATGGTTTAATTCAATGTTATTTTAAGTTAAGCATTAACTGGGAATGTCCAGCGTGAATGGAAGTCAAACTGTGTATGATGGTGCGTGTGTGTGTTTCTCCCAGTGTGTGCCTCTGTTTCCCCTTCTTTTCAACACACCAGTATCCAGTTACAAATTAGCAGAAAACCCCTATTGTTGTTACAATACACATGCAATAAAAGAAACCGAGGGATAGTTTCATGTGCTAATGCCGCCGATTGTCATGGTGCAGGTGCTGCAGAGCCACTGTCAGAAGTTTCTCCTGTCCTTATTTACAAGACACATATTATTTATTTATATATTTAAATGGCGAGCGAAATAAACACCAGCCTTCAACACAGGACATCATGTTTCCGCACAGATTAGCGGCAGAAAAGTGGTGCGTCATTTGTCGACCCCAAGCACATACGGTCTGACACTGTTGATTTATACCAGGCTGGAAAACAAACCCCTGTTATCGGACAGAAGCATTAGGCCACACACGCACGCACACACAGTGGCCAATTTAGAGAGCAAATAATTAGATAAATGTTGACCAAAAAAAAAAGTTCAAATAAAAATAAAAATAAAACGATGCTCCTCCAGGAAGTTTCAATTCTATTCGTAGTATCGGGCAAAACCACGTATTTTTTAAAAAATAAGATATTATACTCCACAGTCATCAGGTATCTTTTTCTCAAATACAGGTATCCATGAAATAAAGTTAGACATGAAAACACATTTTTTATATTCTATTAATTCTTCTTACCTCTGTATTTTCGCTACTCAGATCTCTGTCTCTGGTTTCTCTGCACCTTCCACTGACACATTCACCAAACTCCGCTGCTGGGACTTTGTGAGTTTCTCCCCTCTCGCTTCTCTGACTGGCTCTGACTGTGTTCCTTGTTCTGCACTTGCTGATACTCTGAGGAGCAACGCCTCCAAAGGCTGGACCTCCTCCACCTCCACCTCCTCCAGCAGCAGCAGCAGCAGCAGCAGCAGCAGCAGCAGCAGCAGCAGCAGCAGCAGCAGCAGCAGCAGCAGAGCTTCGCCTCCTGAGCTTCGCCTCCTGACTCTCAATAAGCTGCGAGGCAGCAGAGTTTCGACGAAGCAGGAAAAACACACCTCCCTGTCTCGTTCACCTATCGTATAAGTTAAAACATCAACACCTGCGTCTTTAAGGAGTATTATTTTTTATATTAAACGTTGCCGAATCCTAGGTTTATGACTCGACGTGACGCACAGGTCCATACATGCCAATGTGTTCTGCCCTGTAATCTGCTGTCAAAGCGTGACAGAGAACCGTGCAGGGCAACTGCTCAGAGTTTAACGATTAATACGTTACGTTGAAGCTCAAAAATATTTTTATTTAACATTTTTATTATCCATGAAACATGTAATGATATTCCCACAAATCAGAATTTGAATGTTCCTCTTTTCATACAGAAACAATTCCAATTTAATAATAATCTCACGGTATTTATTTTGTCTCAAAAAACAAACAATTCTTACGTCAAACTTCGTAAATTGTTTGACACACAAACAAAATAAAAATATATTAGACCGGGACCTTACAACCATTAATTAAATACAGACGAAATAACACAAAACAATAATCTTAGCTCCATGATTCTGGCACACCAATAGTTTAGTGTCCGATGGGGGGCAGTAAAATGTACAAGACAGTTTTTTTCCTTTTTTTTTCAATATAAAAAAATGCAAACGATGCTTGAACAGCGTGGTGTCTACAACTGTGTTATCTTCTCACAGCAGTGCTGTTTACCTTAAGTAACACTTGACCAGTTGATGGCGCTCAAATCAAGTCCATTCATCAATGAATTTGTCAATCAGAATTTGTTTAACTGGGACATCGTTGTCTACTGTGCCTGTTGACTGGAAAGCCTCTACTTAACTTTCAATATTTTTCATTTTTCACAAAAACAGTATTTTTCACGGAGCCTAGGCTAGGCTAACCCTGCCAACGTCCGTGTCCTACCGTCTTCTATGGATTTCACCAATAAATCTGAATCTTTTGAGTTGGAATACTGCCACCTACTGGATATTTTTATTACAATTTTTATTTCAAATATTTCCTGTAACAAGGGATTAATTTCATTTGAAATGACTATATGGGTTATTTTGTTAAGGTCTCGTTTAATGATGTTTGAGGTTTGATAGTGAAATACAGATGTACATTTTTCATGAACATACGTTGTCCCTGCAAAACCCAGAAATGAAATCATTGAGTGGAATCAAACATTGGCCGGTGTACACACAGTACAGACCACATATTAAAGGCTACATTCACCATTCAACTGTCAAGTGTTTAGCATATTTAAGAAAAATATCGTTGAGTTGAGCCAAAGTTCTTTGCGAAAGTGGAGGGTCACACCAGGAAAATATGTCGGTAAGATTAACAGATAAGAACAACATTTTTTAATAATCTTAATTTATTTATGTAACATATAACCTCTTCAACAGTCCATTAGATCCATTAATTCTATGCACCTGGTTAATAAGTAACAGTATGACAGCATGTTGCTGTATAAATTACCAATGTCTCTTTCAATTATGCAAGCTTTTGGATATTCATTTTTAAAAAATCAATATTCTTCCATTATGGAGGGCGTAGAGTGTAACTTAATAAGAAACGTGTGTTGGTGGTGACTGGGTCTGGTGTGTAGCTATAGTATGTTCATAAAAATGTCATGTGGTCGTGTCATTCATCAAACATACATGTGTTCAGCCAACCCTAAAGTGTAAATATTCTTCAAATAAAATTAAATAAATTGCATTCAAAAGACAACTCAATGTTTTTGCTCATTTCGTTACATTCATAAGTGGTATTTAATTTGTATTTTCATATGGTTCTGGTTATATTTGTTGCAATACATTCTCTCCCTCCCTCTGTGTGTGTGTGTGTGTGTGCCTTGAGGTGTTATAATTTGACAGTGGAAGATTTAATAGAAGTAATTAATGACAGTCAAAGAGAGATAGAGAAGGACAAAGATAAATGAACACATCTCTGGTTTCTTCTTTCTTTTAGAACTATATTTATGACCCACTAGTTAATGCATAGAAAACACTGTAATGTAATGCAAATCATACAACTCATTACTGTTTAACACAACCTTCATAGTCTATGCCAAAGCATACATTAAAAGGATGCTGTATAACCACATACGTCAAACTGAAACAGCGCCTCCCTTCTGATTCACACCATTTTCCACCCCTGTTACGTAAACGTGAAACTGGAGCGGCAGACAGCTGTAAACCACATCAGTGTTTTCAGGTCCCACCCAAAACAGACAGGTTAAACCCAAAGCCACAATGGAAACTGAAGCAGAAGTACCGAACAACTGATGTATTGCCCGATTTGTTGTCACATTTCAAATCAGTGCAACATCCTGAGTTGCTGAACAAATCGGTGGATATTTTGTGGCTATCAAACTTGGCTCAGGCCCTGTTGTTTCATTGTTGTTTGAGAGGCGTTCAGTCTCAATTCAGACACATCCTCTGGTAGGAGCACAAAACAGTGTGGGTGGTTCACGTCTGCGGTGGAAGCAGCTGAGTGCTCACCTGCGGCTCTGGTGGCCCGATAATTAGGCCCGGGGTTCAATACGAGGGCAGACTCACACAAATAAGCAGAGCGTGCAGAATTTCATTAAAAAGTGACCTGATAATCCCTGTATGGTTTGTTAAAACCCCGATAATAGTCCTTGTTTGAGATCGACTAAAAAACACGGCGTGTTTGAAGTTGCGTTAAAATGCTGAGGTAACGAGAGACAAGGAACTCAACATGTTTGCTCAGGAAGGAGATATTGGCCGGCGGTTCAGATCGCCCTAGCGTTGTTTATTATGATTGCACGCCCTGTTTTCAGTGATGAAATACAGCCAGCAGGTTTCTCTGACCTCATTAAAGAGTGGACAAGTGAAGTGGGTTTCAATGAGGCTTTAAAGAGAGCTCCCACTACGCACGCATACCTATTGTCCTCCGTATCAGAAGCATCAGAAGGGATTTGTAAGCCTTGCAGATAAGCATCTGTGGCTCTGCGGACTGCTGCCAACCTCTGTTCTGAAGGCCTCACTCACGGGGAAGCAAGACTGGGAACAGCAGGGGTGTGTGTCTTTGTGTGTTTGTGTGTATTTGTGTATGTGCTGTGGTTTAAGGAAAGGCCATCTGCGTTTAATGTGTTAGGAAAAGAAAAATCTAATGAAATCCAACAGTTTTTTTGACATCTTCCCGTCTGACATCTGAATTTGATCACGTTAGTAAAGTTTTACATGCTTTCATTTACTTCATCGGTCACTTGACTCTGTGGTTCTACTAACCACAAAAGGATTTTTAGCTCTTTTTTGGCTCATTGTTATTGTTGTTTTTTCTCTGGCACAGGGCTTTGGTCTGTCGATGTGCTCCCACTTCTCTCACCAGCGACACAGCTGGAAGGTGCTTCCCTCTAATGTTGTTGATGAAACCACTGCAGGTCCAAACAATGGACAAACAATGGTGGCAGTGAGTTGGTAAAGGGTTTCCCACTAAATTTGTTGGACACCAAATAAGTGCAAGTCGTTTTTGCTGCGTCACAGGATACACTGGGAACAATGTTTTACTACATCATTTTTTGAACAGTAATCTTCTTGTTGTTCTGCCAATAATACCAATACCAATATCAAATCTCAATTGAAATCAATTGTAAAAATTTGATTATTTTTTCCAGTCTGATTTTAACTGTGATTTTAAAATAAACTAAACATCAAGCACCATAACTGCTTCCCAAAGCTCAGACCCACAAAGTAGTATTAGCGGCATTGCTAATAAACGACTCACACAAGCTAGTGCTAGCTACAATCAAGCTTTCATTTGGCTTTTCTACCCAAATATGAATGAAGTCTCTCACAACTGAAATACACACAAGTACATGTATATTCAAAATGCACATAACAGTGTTTTATATGTATGAGTCGTTGCTAGCTAAATTAAAAAAATCAGACCGGAGCCTGGCTGTAGTGAACACCACAGATCTGTCATTGCCCTAGGTATGATTTTATCAAGTTAATGAACTTTATTGTAGTCAGAATGTTGCCAGGGTGCTATTGTGCAATTTTTATGTCTTCAGACTAATAATAACTAGACTGAAAGGAAGTTACTGTCACCTATTATATAACTGTCTGCTACTTTGATGAATTTATTTATTTCACTCTCTTACTCAAAACATGTGATTTAGAAAAGTTGTAACAATGGCTGGATTTAAATGTGCGTGCAAATGTAATGATTGGTGCAAAGAAAGAATATTGAAGAGAAGCGTCATTTTCAGCTATGTTCTGCCTGCACTTCTAATTTGCGTTGCGGTTTGTTTATATAAGGAAAAAATCTTAAAATTTTATTGAACTCTTCAGAGCTCTATAAAAGTCAAAGACAGTGTTCAGCCTTCTGAAAAAGAAAGCAAGAGAAAACATTCATTCTTTTTCCTCTAAGTACCATAATATACCATAACCTAAGGTAATTTTCAACACATTTTAGGCCCATCACTGTGGTGGACTCCCAATAAATAAATATTAAAACTGAATAATAAAAATTCCCCAAACCTGAAACAATGACAACATTACTATATATCAACCTCTCTTTGGTCATCTATTTAGTTCCCCTGCTTTTTGTTTGACAGTCAATGCATGTGTAATTTATTTATTTTCTCCATGTTTAGTGCTGTCCTCTGTTGTGTTTCTTATTTATTCTTGTTTAGAGGAGAGAAACAGAACACACAGAGTCAAATTCCTGGAATGTGCTTTCATACTTGGCCAATAAATCTGATTCTGATTCCAAAATAACCAAACCCTTTCACAAGGCTTGTTAATTCCTAGGCTATAATTTGTAGAAAAAAAAGTGGGTTTTAACTACAAAAATGTCAGTGTGGTTCAACTCTAATTACACATAATTTTTTTCCAAATCCAA